TAGGTTCCCGAGTTATCAATTTACCAGAAAAAATTTCACGGGGCTGTACGTAAGTATCACGAACACCCGGGGGCTGGATTTGAGCTCATTAATATCTAACTGAATGGAGAACATCCCCTTCAACGCTATAGCTTCTCAGGTCCCCGAGTTAACAACTTACCCGGAAAAAATTTGGCATTGGTACCACACACACCCGGAGTCTGGTTCTGAGCTCAATGAGACTTAGGTGGACGGGGAATATCCTCCTAAAATTATAATCTTCTAGCCTTTCAAATCCTCGAGTTAGCGACTTACCTAAAAAAAAATTTTGGCTGCCCCCACGTATACCCGGAGGCTGAGTTTGAGCTCATTAATGTCTAGTTGGACGGGGAACGTCCCCTTAAAATTTCAGCCTTCCAGTATTTCTGGTTCCCGAGTTAGCAGCTTACCCGTAAAAAACTTTGGTGGGCTCTTACGTGGGTGCCACGCGGATAATGGCGCCCTATTTGGGAATTGGGGCCCGTATGTACCTGTAGATTAAGTTTCCAATGTTTCAGCCCTCTATCTTTTATAGGTCTTGAGATGAAAAATCGGTACAGACGCACGCACAGACACACAGTATGCGTTTTCTACATTGCATAGCTGCAAAAAACGCATAAAAAGAATAAGATTTACATCTCGTACCAAACATGTTTCGTAGGATATATTATCGTAGTTTAGAGGTGGCAACAACCATGCAACAGTGGCATCTCGAAACGCCTACGGTCTTGCCAAAGTGGTTCTGTCGAGTGAACCATTGAGCTGCTAATCCCTTCAGGAGATGAAATGAACGCGAAGGCTGGCAAATAACTGACGCGGTATTTGGTTTAAAGCAACTAGAAGAGTTCTTAGCTGCATACTTTGAGAACTTAATTATGAATGCAGCTGACTCAGATATTCCAGATATACTGATATACTTGCTAATACAGTGTCAAGGAAAAAAACAGCGAAGATATTGAAGAACGATGGAGGAGTTATTCCTAGAAATTACTATTAAGCATTTCTGTTTGGTTTTTTTTTTTTTTTTTTTATTGCTTTTAATTCACTGATTTAGCACTTCAAACGAAAAGCATTTTACAGCGTTTCGGGTGATAGTACGGTTGCTTTAAGGGAAAAAACTGTCAAATTGACTCGAACTACTATATGTGGGAACTAGATTCATGAACGATAACAAGAAATGATTTTTGTCTACTTGGATGTGAAACCTGAAGTTCAACCGTTATTGGAAAAGGGAGTAATTAAAACAGTACTAATCGATGCATTCGATTCATTATCAAGAAGTCTGGGAAGCAATTTGGAAACAGTCGAAACAGATATTTCAACAAACGCAGATGCTGAGGAATACACTGCTAAGCATCGCTCATGGTCTACGAAATCACCGAACTGAACTTAGGTGTTAAAGTTGCGCCTGAGTAGTGAGGTTCCAATGCGGATCCGCAGCACCTGGTTTGTTACGAGAACAGAGTTCATCTTTAATAATAGTAACCTCAAATAACTACAAGGAAAAGAAATTAACACTGGATTCCGAAACGATCGAAATGCTTAGTGATCACTGATAAACGTAACTGTACAATACCCATAGACACTGTTCGCAACTTTGCGTTCTCTTCCAGAAGGCGCGTTGAACTCTCGCCGGTAAGCAGCAGGCCACCACCCAGAAAATGTTGCACCATTTCTTCGCGCAGGCTACCTTTCGGCCTACATGTGTAGCACTTTATCTGCAGTAAAGCATTTAAAACCTATCCCGGAAAACAAGAAATTTTTACATAAATAAGAAAGAGATGCAGTCAGGTGATTAATCAGCGATAACAACACACTGATCAGCTCACTGCCACCAACAGGGGAAATCAGAGCAGGTTGTCATGCTGGGCACGTCTCTGTTCCATCCTTTCCTTGCACAACTAGTCACTCAGAATCACATCACTGAAAAAAGAGAAGCGCCACATTACCTGATGCTCACCCGGCGACACTGGTAGAAATACTGTACCATACGCATGAAGATTCTGACGGCCAAACTCATCATGATGCCAGATTTGTAGGTTTATTGACGGCCATCCTGCATTTGACAAATCACATATGCTATTACCGTACATGAAACACAGTTACTTTTGAAACAGACAGCCAAGGAACTCCGGCTGACAGGCTTGACATATTTTGCGGCTCTCACGTCTCTGCGCTCGCTCGCGCTTTCACCGTCAAAAAACATTCGCGTTTACGGGAAGTGGGTGAATAATATTTCGACCTTCAACTTGTCTTCTGGAAGAAATTCACATTTGTGAATGGTTTAGTAGATATTCGATTTTACAATACAATTGTAAAATCGAATATTTCATCGGTAGCCGAACACAGTGATCCTCCTTGGACCTAGATCATGGATATCAACAATTATCCGCATTTAACTTTTATGCATTAAAGCGGCAGAAAGGTGGGTAGAGGAACCAAGGAAAACGGCCTAGGGAGCGCTAAAACGAATGCACTGTACTGTCAAGACTGTCCAGTGCCGCCACCACTAATATGGGCTAGCAATGTTAACGAGATGCACAATATACAAGGAGCATGGCAGTATCG